ATTTCTTTAAGGTGAAAACTGTTGAAAACAACAAGACTGTTTTGTCTTATTGTACAAATTAATATCCAGCTCCACRTGTTTCTATTGATGTCATTTCTCCACTAGAAAAATTATGTGATGTAGGTCCATGGAAGGCAAATTAGTTTAAATCAAAAAAACAAAAGAGGATGCAGTGGAAGGTGTCAAAGCAGTTTGGAGAGAAAAACAAAGTAAAGAACAACAACAAAAAAAAGAAATCGATTAATCGTAGCAGCCCTAGTGAGTAGGTTCTGGGTTCAATTCCCGGTTTGGACCTGAAGTTATTTTATGTGKCGTTCACGTGTTCTTGTGCTTACGTGGGTTTCCTCCCACAGTACAAAAGAAACCTGCACTTTAGGTTGCCTTCAGGCCCAGGCCTCCCATGCAAAAGAGATCTGTGTTCTCAGTGGGATTTTGCCTGGTTAAATAAAGATTAATAAACAATAAATAAAAGCTGCAATTTCAGAATATTGCCAAGGACACTTGTAGCTCTTCATCTTTTACTTCTTGGTAGCTGAAGCTGGCAGCCCCCCCAAGACATCCAGGTAATGACTCTGCTTCTTGTGTTGAGCCACATCAGTTCAGTAGGAGGTTCTACAGTGGGGGGTCAGGACATAAATATTAGACAGAGACAAACAAAAAGGATCCAGACCACCACACTGGTTTTAGTGCATATTGAGACCTGTATTTAGCACTACCCTAATGCATTGTTGCTCGAGACCACCGTTAAACTGAGTCAATATTCTAAGAGTAAAAACTAGTCTGTTATTTCTTTAAGTTTAAAGGAAATGAGGTTKTTTTAGTGRTTAACCTGCTCAAATTCAAACATGGCTTCATTTTACYGTTTGACACTTCTCCACAGATTTTATCACCTCAACAAGAGAGGACGTGTTGTGAACTGTCCATATGTTGACAACTCCTACAAATGGGCAGGAGGTGGCTTCCTGTCCACCGTGGGAGACCTGCTGATTTTCGGTAATGCTCTGCTATATAGCTACCAGGTGGCCCACTTTGAGACCGAAGGTTTGCTCCCTGGCTTTCTCAAGCCTAAGACTGCCGTAGAGCTGTGGGCACCTGTGGACAAGACGGAAGCCAGCTGGGATAAGGACGGGCTGTACGCCCAAGGCTGGCTGGTGGTGGAGAAATTGCAAAAATATGGCCACTGCAGGARGCGCAGACATTACGTGTCACACACGGGAGGAGCTGTGGGGGCCAGCAGCGTTCTTCTAGTGTTACCCAGTGAGGAGGTAGACCCGCGACGAGGACCGACTCTCGTCCTCCCGCAGGGGGTTGTTGTCACCATCATCGTAAACATGCAGTCTGTGGGACTGAACGCTACCGCACTAAAAATTGCACACGAGTTTGAAAAAAACCGAAACAAGTAAGTTTTTTCACAAAGTGTGTGCGTTTGCAGAATCTTATGTGATTTTGATATAGTTTTTGAATACAGCACTATGAAAAACCCTGGAGCCTCATTTCTTTTCTTTTGTTTGCTCAAGATGGGTGCAAAGTTTTATGGAAAACTGTTCACAAGACAAAAATTGTTTTTCTTCAGATTTAAAATCCATTTTTAGACCGAGCGGGGGGAGCATTTCATTACATTTAGTTAAACATGTTTTCATAAAGGGTTTTTAAGGTCAATCGAAAGTTTCGTTTTTCCTTTTGTACTTGTTGGCCAACCTTTCTGTTCTGTAGAAGTTTATCCCACGTTGTTTCAGTAATGTTGATGGCCAGGTTTTAGTGAAACCAATCTGTGATACTGTTTTGGGTGCTTTTTTACTCGGGTATGCTTTGACTGCATTGGCAGCATATTTGAGATTATTGTTATACTGAAAAATGAAGGCGGTTGACTTTCATTCAAGTTGAGTAATTTTGCATACCTCAGCCTTTTATCAATTTCCCATTTTCAGGAATGCATTTTTGACTGCCTTAAAGCATTTTCAAAGCTTTTTTGTCAGGTCCTTGTCATTTTTTAAATTAATTTTTTTAAGCTTCTCACTTCCTTTAATAAGTTTATGTTTAAACTGTGCTACCAACAAAGATAGAACATGATTTTGGGTAATAACTTGTTGTAAATTACCTGTTTGATGATTACCAGAATTTTTTGTTTGTTTGGTTGTTTACATCAAGCTGCTAATAACAAAGTCCATTTGAATATTGAGTATTTAATTTGTTACGGTGTACATTTAATTTGGATGAAACACTACTTTTTTTTATCTTGAACCTTTTTATGTTTAAAAACTACCGTTTTTTTAATGAGTTTTTCAAATTTATATTCTGTTGAAAGAAAATCCTCTTGGTAACTTTATTTCTGTTTATACTGAAGAGTTGTAAACAGTGTCTGCATACGTTAAGGGATTATTCAGACAATCTGAATCTTTAACTACCAGTGCAGGTCAAAAACKTGTCTTATGTTTAACTGCTCAAGTGTTAAAAAATATAACATGCACAGTTATATTTAAAAATCTAATGAAGAGTGTTATAACTTTGTGGTTACAGTTATGTTGCTCTCTAAAGGTAGTAAAGATTTTCTGCCACTAGGTGGAAGCAGAGAGCTGAGTTTTAAATGTTTGCCCTATGATCGATCTTTAATCCTCTTTTGCGGCCTTAGTTTGAGGGCAGCAAGAGGATTAAAAGTTTTGAAATTTTAACCTTAATTTTTTTAAAGCCTAATACAGCGGGTAAAATAAGTATTGAACACGTCAACATTTTTCTCAGTAAATATATTACTAGAGGTGCTAATGACATGAAATTTTCACCAGATGT